ATTTTGGCGCCATTTTGTAACTACCTGACTTTGTGACATACACAGATAATGATAGCAATTAGTCAACGACTGTTAGTTTTTTTTTTAAATCATGCTTTAAAAAGGTGGAGTTTTAGAATTATGTGAATAGTTAATTTTCTAGGAAATATTATATATATATATTTTTTAAATATGTTATTATACTAAAATTGTCTACTTAGTGCAAAAAAGTTAGGTAGGTATAACTAATAAAGGTCTCATAAATATCTTTAGCTTAACGCAATTGTAGAGAGTAAGACATACAGTAAAAGTTTTTTTTCTAATGAAATATAGTAAAAATATTTCAAATAAATAATCTATCACACGCACTGGAAATGCAGGTAACGATCGGTTCGTAGTGTTTTGAAATTTAAATGTAACTATTTAAATGCGAACTGGCAATAGGTCAGAGTGGAATGTATTCGCATGGTAAGTGGCTGTTCGTTTGTTTTTTTGTTCTCAACTTTGTTTCATAGGGTTGTAACATATATAAATATAATATAGATATACATACATTACATATGAGGATTAATATATTTTATGAAACCTGTAAAGACAGTATCGATGTTACACAGATAAATGGATCTAGGTACTTTGAAGGAAAGATAATGAAAATGTACCAGGCTTAGAAAGCGTAATACTCGCTGTTAATATTATGTCGGACACTTTCGTGATTTTCTAGAATTTGATTTAATTGAACATAACATTAGTAAGGAATATGGCAATTATTATATAATGATAAATTAAAAATTTAAAAAAATCCCCGACCATCTTGGACCGATTTTCATCACATAGCTAAGAAAACTCCCGACTAATTCACTTTCCAAACAAAACAAAATCAAAATCGGTTCATCCGTTCGGGAGCTACGATGCCACAGACAGACAGACACACACACACACACACTAAGCATGGAAATGATTGCTACTTTTAAATCATTATCACGTGATGAAATTACAACAATTTTTCACGTGATTTCACCTGCTACTTTTCACGCATAGATTTTTGATTTCGACGGTCTGGTGTCACACTTTATATTATTTGCTATTAAAATGAAGTATGAAATGTCACCAATGGCGCTACTGATGTGATATGGAGCAGAGATATAGATCTGACGTAGTTGCATACGTACATGGTGCTTTGAATGAACCTATTTTCAAACAATGAACTTTCCCTCATACTTCTGCAGGCTTGGGACTGACAATGTAAAATTAAATGAATTTTAAATATATCAGAGTAATCACACGGTAAAATTGTATTAAGCTAAGTTCCATAATTACATTGGCGTATTTAAAAGTTCATTGTTTTTATGTACAATAAGAATTTTTATAAAAGAATTTTATACACTTTTTTTTTGTTTTTCTTATTTTTTTTAATTTGTTTATAATCATTTTATTTGCTTTTTGATTTTTTTGATGATTGATTTTTTTATGAGATATCTATATACAATAGTCTTCATTGCTTTTTAAAAATACAAGTTCCGCTGTTCGTTTTCTGCTTAATCGTGCTCTTTTTTGGGTTGCAAAATTTCCCGCTTTTGAAAATACTCTCTCACACTCCACTGATGTCACCACGATGTGACAGTGCTCATGAAATATTTCCGCCAAATTGGGGTACATATAGGAGTGAGATTTCCACCAAACTAATGGCGAAGAATCGCGCGGAAGCACTGGTTCATTAATAAACATTTCTAGCTCGTTCTCAGCGTTGGTGGTTATGTCTGTACGTATTACACATAATCATTCAGTAAAAATTATAAGTATTTGTTGGATAAAAAACTAAAAATGTGCTCTAAATTTAATTGTTGTTTCTAATTTAAAATTATTTCTAAACAATATTTCTAAGAATCCGAAATCATGCAACTCGAAATAAATAAACTCCCCAATTTACTGATCAACGGTATTAACTGAAAATTGTATTTTGTTGAATAAAAAATCAATAAAAACATCAGTACGAAAATGTATACGGAAAATGCGAGTAACGAAATGCATTCGTGAGTAACGTTTCGGTACTCGGTACTAGATGGCGTACCCGTTACTCAGTAACGAATACATACGGTTTGCTACAGCTCTAGATTTCACCAAGTTGTGATTTGTAGCAGCCACTATGAATTTAAGTAGCAGGTGTGACGTATGATTACGCATTTCACGTGATTTGATTTTTCACTTGCTACTTGTGAAATGTTCCATCCCTAACACACACACACAGAGACACGTAAAATTTATAACACCCCGTCTTTTTGGCGTCGGGGGTTAAAAATAGTTGAATTTAAATATAAATGAAAAATAAGATAAAAAAAATAAAAACTTTTTAACAAAAAAATAAAAACCGACTTCAAACAAAAGCACTAAAAAGTAAAAAATAACTGATTGGTAGTTTTCATTTACTATACATACCTAATCAAATATTTTCGAAGTCGGTGTGCTTTGCTTTGTATGGGCTGGCACCGATTTCGAAAATATTTGATTAGGTATGTATTTAATAAGTAGGCTTTAATTACTTAGCCAAAGCACACCGACTTCGAAAATATTTGATTAGGTATGTATAGTAAATGAAAACTACCAATCTATCTAAATTATATATCTAAAAGTATCTACTATTAGTCGTTGAAGAGTTCCACCTATCCACCTTCTGGCCTTACCATCAGATCAGGTCAACAATACCGAACCACTGTACTATCAACGGAAATAGAAACACTTGCAAAGTTTCAAGTCAATATGACAATTAGAAGTAGGTTAAATTCATCATTAGCTATTTTTCCACCCTTAGGGGTGGTATTTTTTTTTTGAAATTTAAATGGGACCAATCTGGAAGTATACACTTTCAAACAACACAAAAATTGACCAAATCGGTTAATAAATGACGGAGTTCTGAGGTAACAAACATAAAAAATAACAGTCGAATTGAGAACCTCCTCCTTTTTGAAGTCGGTTGATGATAACGACACCTTGTTGCTTGCTTGCTTGTTTCTACCCTCTTAGTTATACCTACATCTTGAAGAAAGTAGATCATGGATCAACATTTGTATGTTTGTAGGTGAAGATTTAATTGTGGACTTAGAAATTTTGAAGATTTGACTATGTGTGTCTGTAAAGTTTTGTTTTCTATTCAATAATTTAAAAAAACATGAATACAATAAATCGAAATTTTCATTTATAGCTACGCTATTTTTATTCTTGTTTAAAAAAGTTTGTAGACAACCCTAATTCTATGCACATAGCTTGATGACGCTTTTCCTGTGTACTCAATACCTATTATTATCCACGATATATTGATTTACTTTACTCTAGGGACTTTTGTTAACACCATATTATTTAAAAAAATATTTAAAGTCTCATTAGGTAGCAGATTATCATATAAAATGAGCAATTCTTGTACATATGTATATAAATTTATTTCGTATATCTCGGAAACTGCTGTATCGATTTGAATCAATTTTTTTATTTAGATAAGATTTTGCTTTTTAAGTTTAGGCATATTTTTTGAAAGAACGTGGTTTTTATATCTTACTTACCTGAAAACACCGAAGCTAGGTTTTCCAGGTACTTAGTAATAATATGTTTAAGTACACCGTGCTAATGATTAAAATTGAAAAAAATTTAGTGTTAAATAAAAGTTTAAAAAGATATTCCCGGTATTACTTATTCCTATTTATTCCTTTTGTTGAACGGGTGTCGCAGGTTTGAGGTTCGTTTAAAGCAAAATACAAAGATTTACTATGTTTTATTCAGTTATAATACGGCCTTAAGTACTATTGTGTCAAAATTTTGGCGAAGAACTAAGTGAAAACTGTCTATGTTTTATTTTTCTATACTAACATTTTTCTTTTATTACTAATATTATTTTTATTACTATTATTTTTTATTCTCACTTCCATAGAAGCTGGAAGAGATCTTCTAGATATGAGTCCATTTTTTATTGTTTTTAAACTTTTTTTAATATGCATTGGAGATAAATTTTAAAAATTGCATTATTAGGTGGAAAGATGATTCTTTATCACGATAGTGTGCACTGCTATCAAGAAGCAGTAGCCTATCCATAAATGTAGGGGAACTTTATTAATGACGTTAGTGGTAACTTGTATTTCAATAAAAATTGCACTATTGAGGTAAAAAAACATAAGTTTTAAACTATTTTGTCAAAAATTAAGTGTAATGGAGATGACAATATGACGTTTTTTTTACATCTGTATTTTGATCACAAAAATAGATATAATATGTATGTATGTTTTAACCTGATTTGAGATGTTGGTGTAATAGATGCCCACAACAAGTGTCCAGTCACAACATTCTACAGCAGTCTATATAAATTAATATTGATAAATATTTTTAATGATTTATCTGGTGACTCACACGCCTTTGAGGTTCCGGCATTACTAGAGCTGCCATATTAGATAAATAGCTTCTAAGCTCGATTTTGTCCACCTCTTTTGTTTGTTAATATTATATACTAATATAACAAAAATAAAATAAAAAATCTTATTGTATTGTTTATTTATCCATAATAATTTCTAATACTGTTAAGTCTAATCAGGTTGATCTTTTCCGATTTTTTGGCGGATTTATTTAGATTTTTTGGTTCCTGACGTTTCGAATGATTTACAGAAATCAGCAGTCTCTCCCGTGACCATGATTCCTGTAAATGATTTGATTCGTAAGTTTTTTTTTTGTGAGGAATGTTATATGGAATTTAACATCACATCTACAATCCTTAAGGGCAGAGTAATTATATAATATAAATCAACTACGCGAGTGGAGTCACAGACAAAATTTTAAACTAGCTAGCACACCTAAGTAATTATTAGAAATAGATAGATATTTCATGAAAACTTAATAAAATCATTGATATGCCGAAATGAACGATATTTTTGAATCCTCTTACAAAATTTGATTAAGATAATAATTATTATTATTATAAAAAAAAATCTATAGAAGTAATACCTTATATGTAAATTATTATTAATAAAATATATTATTTTTTACAGATTGCAGCATTGAGAAAGTTGAATGATGAGCTGCAAGCTACATTGCAATCTGAGGTAAGTTACCCAAAAAATTTAAACAGTAAATCTCTTCTTTTTTTTTTTGAAAAAAAAAACCATGATGGGCTTCCATCCAGCCGTCAATGGACAGGAGACTGTGAGGCTCTTACTAAAACCCACAGCGGGACTCTATTTCCCTATAGAGCACTTTATAGGATAGCTTGTAATATTATAATAGTTAACATTTAGTATAGATTTCTCAGAGATGAGATATTTTTCCGCAGTAAAAAGTATCCTATATGTTGACCCGGATAACCAGCTTACCAAATTTTATCTAAATCAGTTCAGTAGATCCAGAGATTACGCCCTACAATCCCACAAACTCACAAACTTTACCTCTTTATAATATTAGTATAGATTTAATGAATTGGTTACATCTAAATTAAATTGGTTATACCCTCATATAATTAAAAAAAACATCCCTAGGTAAAAGAAGGGTTTACTTTGGAATAACATAACATACTCTCTACAAAAGCTCTCTCATTAAAAGCTTATATTTTTTACCCATTTAGTTTTATTCAATCTAATCAATACATATAATAAAATTGTAACTAAGCCGAATCTGTACGTATATATAATAATACATAATAAACATTATTATCGATACAGAGAACGAGATACAAAAACTGCAATGTAATATGTAAAACCTAAGAATTTGGTTTTTGGTCATCTGAACGCGGGCGTTGCCGCTAAATAGGTATAAATATCTTTTGTTATAGTGTTTGTGGTCGCACTCCTCCGAAATGGTTCATGTCTCGACCGATTTTAATGATTTTTTTTGTATATTTGATAGGTATGAGAATAGATCGTAAAGTATTTTTCACCCTTCTACCCCCACGCCCCATTCTTTAATTGCGATTTTAGTATTTTTGTATGAACAATATTATATAAACACAGCGACGAAGAATAAGAGAAGACTTTTTCTCATAGATTGATCGCGGGCGTAGCCGCGGCTTCCGGTAGTTTTTCTATACTAATGTTGGCTTGATGTTTAAGTTAAATTTCAAACGAGTGATAACCTTATATTATTATCGATTGCCCTTTTAACAAAATTATTCAGAATTTGAACCTTTTGTTCGAAATTTCTATGTAAATGTCAAGATGTAAGTATATCGCTTTTTCAAATCGTTAGCTGGAGTGTTTGAATCATAAATATTAAGTGTTTCCCGTCTTTATATTTAATTACTAAGGGACCACCCGGATATGTTTAGTTGGTTATTAGTTTTTTGTTGTCGTTCATGTATAAGTTTAGTAAAACTTTAAACTTTCAATGTTTGTGTGAAAAAATTGTGTGTTAAACTTGTTTTTAAATATGTTACCCATACTAATATTATAAATGTGAAAGTGTGTTTGTTTGTCTTTTTTTCACGTCGAAACGGAGTGACGGATTGGCGTGATTTTTGGTGTGGAGATAGCTTTCAGTGGAGCACTTTCAGCTTTTGAACTTTTCAATTTTCTAAGAAACTTACTTTTTTCCCCTAAAAACCTTATTTCGATAAGTTTAAAGTACTATAATATTAACATAAGGTTATAGCCGACTTATAATGAGAATATATGAATACAATAGAATCGATAATTTTACATTATAAATATTTTTTTAACCTCACTTATTGCTCAAGTGCATATTGTGTTTGCGTTTATTCAAACGTGTATATAAATGAAACATGAAAGTCTTAAACTAATAAAATTTCTCAGGAACTATTGCAAGCATAAAATTAATTAGTTAGTACGTACATACATACATAGGTTCTAATAAGAATGTGCCTATTAGAGCAGGCAGTGGTAGCCCAATTGTAACGCGCTTGCTTGAGAATCCGAGTGAAGTGGGTTCAAATCTCAGGTCTCGCACCTCTGATATTCTCATGTGAGAATCATTTTCAACATGGTTACCATTTGTCTTACGGCGAAGGAAAACATCGAAACACCTGAAACCTGGAAACACCTGGAAACCTGCATGTCTGACAGAACTTAGCAAGTTTCTGAAAGACATGTGAAATCCGCCAACCCGCACTTAGCCAGCGTCGTGGGCTTACGGCCTGACTCATGACCTCGTATTGAAGGGAGGCCAGTGTACAGCTGTGGGGAGTTAAAAAGAGCTGGAAACTATAACAACGGTTTACTATCAGTATCTACATTAGTAGCTTTCTTAAAGGCTTACATCTTTATATATATAATTCTTCTGTGAGTGTGTATGTCACTGAACTTCTCTCAAACGACTGGACCGATTTTGATGAAATTTTTTGTGTGTGTTCAAGGGGATCTGGGAATGGTTTAGATTCACAATTTTAATAATAATTTTCATCAAAAAAAATTTAAAAAAAAGTTTGAAATTTTCAAATTAAAGACGTGTAGACAGGACAACGTCTGTCGGGTCCGCTAGTATATTAATAAGGGGTTTTAAACATATTTGGAGGAATTTATGAGACAGTATTGCAATCAGTTGAAAGTTTGCATAAATTAAAACATAATAATTAACATATGATATTAATCAAAACTTTATTGTGAAGCGTAAGAAGGAAGCAAAAAAACTAGTAAATAATCATGAATTCTAGATTTAACCCAACAGGAGTCAAACTTTATAGGTACTTAAAATGACCTAAATAATTAATAAAATATCTAAGTCACCTATCTATATGGTTTTATTATTCCCAATATACTGAAAAAGCAGATAAAACTATTGATCGATCTCCAGAGATGATAACGGATATAAAAGCTTCTGATAACGGTTTCGAGCCTTTGTTTGGCCACCACGTTACAAGGGTACGTACTTGCTTATACTTATTTTACTAGTTAATTTTTATAAGAATTTAAGCTTTCTTTTGATATTCTTTAAGTTTCATCACTAATCGTTATAAATTAAAGCCCTCTATGTTTGTTCGGTTTAATCTCACAACTCACTACGAATTTTAATACGGTTTCGAAAATTATTAGATTATATTTAAGAACATTTTGCTGATTGAATACATATATTTGTGAATTAAGTTGGAAAAAATGTCTCTTCTGTGAGCTTCTATAATATTATAAATGTACAGGTTATGCGTCATTATATCATAGGAACGTTAGTATTAGGTGTAGGTACCTACATATAGCAAAATCGCTATTCGCGTCTTTGTGTTTGTGGAAAAATCCCTTTGGTATTGATCTATACATATAATAAAATTCTGAGTCGAATCTGTATAATTAATATATTTTTTTGGAAAATCTTATTGAAATAGTCATTATTATCGTTACAAAACAGAATCTATGTATAGTTTTAAGAATTTTTGTCTGTCGGTCTATCTGGGAACGCATCACGAGAAAACCACTGGACAGATTTTAATGAAATTTGTATGATGATAGCTGGTTATCCGGGTCAACATATAGGATACTTTTTACTGTGGGAAAATATGTCATCCTTGAGAAATCTGTATTAAATATTAAAATTTAACTAGTGTTATAAATAAAAAAATAATAACCTAAGGACCCAACCGAGCGAAGTTAAGGAAAGTCGCTAGTTAAAATTAATTACAAACTTATCAAGTGTTTGAATTCCACTTCGATTTAATTTTCATGTTGGTATTGGAACCGAAAGCTTATAATTAATTCTATAAATTCAAGTTTAAAGGTTATGTCGGGTGGAATAATTTTTGTATGGAAATTGGTTGTACTGTGCGCATCCTGTATACATTTTCATAAACTAGACAATCGCGCGCGATTTTATCTGTGGTCGATGAATTATCTGTTTATTGTCGATTTAAAGTTATATTTTAGAGGTTGATATTTTTATTTTATTCAATGTTGCATCTTTTTAAATGGCAGCGTTTTTTTAACAATGAAATAAAAATAAAGTATTTATTTAAATGATTATTTTATATACATTTATTGATAAAAATGTAAAGTTGTAATCTGACAGATATAAGATATAAGTTTGGTTTTTAGACCAAGGGGTCTTAGGTGACCAAGGGCCAAGGGTTTTTATGATTAAATTTGGTATGACGATAGCTGGTTACCCGGATCAACACATAGGATACCTTTTACTAGGGTTACTTTTACCTCTGAGAAATCAATACTAAACTGTAAAACGTAACTAGGCCCGAACCCGAGAGGAGCGAGGGTGAGTCGACAGTAAAATTATATTACTCAACTAGCATTGCCCGCGGCTCCGCCCGCGTTCAGATGACCAAAAACCAAATTCTAAGGTTTACCTATTAGTATACTCTTACAATGCAGTTTTTGTGTTTTTGTATTTTTTCTCAGAAATGAGATATTTTCCCGCGGTAAAAAGTATCCTATACGTTGACCCGAATAACCAGCTATCATCATACAAAATTTCATTAATATCTGTCCAGTGGTTTTCTCGTGACGCGTTTCCAGACAGACAGACAAATATTCTAAAAGCCTAGATTCAGCCTCAGTATCGATAATAATGACTATTTCAATAAGATTTTCCAAAAAATATTTAATGTACAGATTCGACTTAGTTACAATTTTACTATATGTATAGATAATATAATCTTGTACCTACTTAGTGTTCTAGCATAGTAACTTATGTTTAACTAAGTATAGCTACGGAAATACTTAGCGCATACTTTTATATGGCATATTTTGTATTAGTGCATAATTTTATATTTATATGTATAGATACTGTTTTTATAATAAGTAACCAATTTGCAATGTCATATTGAAATTAATATTTTCAACAGGTTAAGTCGTTTTTCTTAGTTATATGAAAATTGTTTGGAAAGGTCTCGGCTATATCGCAGTAGAATTATTTGAAAAAATATCAGTTTTAAGATACTAGCTTCGCCCGCGGCTCGGTCCGCCTTCAAGCGACCGCTACCAAACTTCACAGAAACAACCGTTGGTCTAATCTGAAGATTGCCTTAAAATTTCATCAAAATCGCTCTTGCCGTTTTGAAGTTCATATGGTACATACATACACATATCGATTTTTATATATGTACATATACCTATATAGTTATATATATACATACATATATGTCTGAAGGTTTTCTGTG